CAATGCATACTTTGATTTGTTTATCCATTTGTGCTTGTTCAACAAACAGAAAAAACCCCAGGATATGTCCAAATATAAATTTGACCGAATCGCGGGGTAATTTAAAAAACTACTATTCTTCTAAAAAATAGCATTTAATATATAATAAAAATAATTTCAGCAATCATAAAATAGATTGCAAAATATTAGTGGTCACATAATTCAATAAAATTAAAATATAAGATTGTCAAAACATCTTCAAAACATCTTATATTTTGAAATGGAGGAAGTATATACATATATTTTTTTGTATATGTTACAATTTGAAATTTAAAAAATAATATAATTCTTATAATATTTACTTAGTTTTCGTCACATTACTCATTACCTACACAATTTTAACTTTATAAATCGAACTTTTTTAGTCGATTGGTAAATATAGACTTAGAGCATCTCCAATGATAGTGTGAGTATCTAAGAGACTTTTTAACAATTAAAATAGAGAAAAAGTAGGAAAGAGTTTGAGAATTGGTTGTAAGTTGTAACACAATACTCCATAAAAAAAACTCCTGAGACACTTGTCTTTTTTTATGAGTGGTTTAACTTTATTTTTTGAATTAGAATTAAATTATATGATTGAATTATCTTCAAATATTAATTTTATAATATTGAAAAACTCTTATAAGAAACTATACCATTTGAGATGCTTTTAAAACTAGTAAGTAATTTATTACAACCGATGCGTTGACCAGACCAAAACAGTACATATATTTATCTGAAAAGAGTATACAACAAAGAATGAGTAAGTTGTCTATGTAAATTACATGACTCGAAAAGCTAAATCACATCCACAAAGGATCAAATGAATCAAATAATATATAATTTTTAGCAAAAAATTATGAAGTAAAACAATAGAAAACCGAAATTAGTATTGACAATAATGTTACAAATGTTCCGTTCATCACTGAAGAATCCGATGATGATATGAGATTGTCTGCTCCGAGTGAGTACGACGTTCCAGCTCCATCTTTCACTTTGATGCTTGACGAACCTAACAAAACAAAACAAAAACGCATTAGGTGTGTTTGATTTCTCCTTTCATCGATCGTCATCTAATTAGTTTTTCGGGTTCCAGATACTTACAGTTGTGATCTGCCCATCCAATGACCTCCTTCTCCAGATCATATACTACTAACTTGTTTGAAAGTACCAAATCTACAGATGAAAACCAAAATTTAAAGCCATGTACATTAAGTGTAACACATGGGAGACCAAAAATCACACAGCTTTTCACGCTGTTTGGTTCGGTTATTGTCTACATGCTATCACCTAACATCTGTAACATTTCTTAGTAGCTATCTTGAAAAAGAAAAACATAACATACGACAACGATGATCTATTTGAAACTTCAAGTGCAGATGATTTACTGATCAGCAATATCCTATAGTTTAGTTTGAAATTTACCTCCCAAAAGGATCACATCGGATCCGTCCTGAGTTGTCATTCCACCAGATTGCCAACCAAAGCAATACATATCTTCCTGTTTTTAGAAGGGAAAATAAAGAGAGAGCTCAATTTGTTGATGAGAGAATTCATATCAGCTATGTAGAAAATTTTTAAGGTTAGCAGGTAAAAAGAGCAAGGACTCTCTGAATAAAAAACCTATTCTAGTAGATGGGAACTAAATATGCAAGAACATATGCTATACATCAATGGAACTTTGGATAGTTCCCCATAATAACACCAAGTTTGACTATGTTGTTCGAATCCATTGATCAAACTCAGTCAAACTCAGTTAGAGCACACGAATATTCTGTCGGGTATAAACACATCAAAGTCTACTGACTTACACGAAGTGAGAAAAGATAATCGTGCGGATAAACAGTCAGTTTGAGTGAGTCTTCAAAATGAAGATTGACTACCGGAAACGCTTTATCTGTGCTGCAGATACAAGGTAGAATATTTTAGCACCTTCCACTAAATAAAACGGAAAAAAAAATCTCACAGCATGTTTTCAAGGTTCTTGGCACATATATTTCAGAACATCTTATAGATCTTGTTATCTATCCGTGATGATTGTTTACTTAAGACTTTGGCCAGTAAATAACTTGGTGTTCATTGGTATCAAAAAGCAAAAGATGGTCGATACATACAGGCTAAGAAAAGGAAGCAAGTCATCTTACTTTGAAGTGAAACTGAAACACGCAAAAGTCTCCTGTACCATGTGCAGTTTCACCGGTTGCCGAGCAGTAATCTATATACATAAAATACCATGTCAGGGTTGTGGTTATAATCTAGAAACAAAGAGTGAAAAAGAGTTTCACCTTTTCAATTAGTGAGGTGTACAGAGTTTGTGGTAAGTAAGCTAAAGTTGTACCACTGTCAATTATGGTTCCTCCATTCCCGCCAAAACTAGCTAGACTTGGTGGAAGGTCGACAGGATCACCATCCACATCTATTCCCTTCAAGATAACATTGTAATGTACCCTAAAATTGTTTGATAAAGTTATTAAACAGTATCCAAAATGTATACACAACAGTTGCAAATCCTTAACTGAAAAATGCATGACTTAAGATGGTCTCACTTACTGATTAGGAACCAAAGGAGTTGTTTTCACTACTGGAGATTCCACGTCTCCAATAGCAAAAATCCCACCTCCATTCATATTGTCCAAGCAATGTGAAAAAATTCTCTTCACATCTCCCGCGGCAGCTAGTTGTGAAATGATAGAGGTATTTGATTGTCCAAAACCCATAATTCCATCAACTGCTGAATCAGTCTGCCCAAGTTGTCCAGACTGATTACTTCCACAACTGTCTCACAAAGGTATCCTTATGATTAGCAGCATTTCGAAGAAAAAAAAAAGAAAATCAAGCTCATTAACCCCAATTTAGTAATGGAGTGATCAAAAGTGTAATGTTATTATAGCTCACCCGAATACTACTTCCTGCGCGAGGGGTGCAGTTCGAAGATTACCAGTAACTTGTTCAAGAGTAATGTTATCCCTCACAAAATCCCCATCACTTGTGCTTCCATCTCCATACACCACATGATAACTACATGGCTTTTTCTTGGCTTCACAAGTTTCCGATTGCATAATAAACGAGCAAAAATCATCTTCACAGCCAACTTTCTTTGAACTGGAGGAACCTTTTGAGTCATACAATGATAAAGGTATCTGTATAATAATAATAGCAAACAAACACACACACACAGATCTGAGATTCTAAAACGTAGCTTATAAGAGAATGAAATCAAGTTTTGGGTAAAAAGAAGAAGCATACACCGAGATCAGTTTTCACAGGACATTTGGGACAAGGTGCACAATTGACCCAAAGTATATCACTCCCTGTATCAACTTGAACATAGTATTCCTTTGGTGGAGACCCGAGCTTGATTTTGGTGAAGTATAAACTGAAACAAAATCAAGCAAATGTTATCCCATAAGAACAAAATCGAATTCCAAAAATAGCAGAGAGAGAAGAAGGAAAAACCCGATGGAATCAGCGCGACTATCGCCACCGAGAGGGAGATCGACGTTCGCAAGCATACGAGCGTGACGGAAACTATCGTGAGATTTGAGCTCAGATAACTGTTTCTCCTTACCGGCGAACTTATGCGTTACATTAAACACGAAGTTACCGGAAGCAAATTGAATCAACACCATGAAAACAGCAGAAACGATGCGTAAAGTTCGATTCAGATCCATCGCCACCACCGCCGTTTGCTGTAACCAGATTTTGTCTCCGTTCCGATGAGAAGAAAACGATT